TGATGGATTGATTGAACTACCAATCAAAGTCTAGTAATTCGGCCCCACGAATTACGGGAAAAAAATCCTCCTTCATTAGCCAATTACCATCCAGTATTTTTGCCCTGTATGTGATAAAGCCATTAATGAACTCTACGTGTTCACGCTTGAGGTGGTTTGACTGTGAGAGAGCTATATAATTCACATAAAGAGGACTTGAAATAACTCTATAATTCACAATCGTCTTTTCTAAATACAGAATTTATCTATTACAACAGAAATATCTAGTTTTAATGTAGGAACTGGTTTCCCTAACAGCCTGGCGGATGTCTCGAAGTCTCCAGCAGTAAACAAGAGGATTAATAGCAGAATTTATAAATGCTGCCACAACTGAAAAAATCCAGGCTTGAAGAAGAGATACTGATAAGCCTCGAAATTCATAAACGTAGAGAACAATTATGTAAGGCGAATAAAATACTAGAAACAAAATTAAAACGTAAAACAGATTAATTACAGACTTTTTGAAGCGAAGGATATTAGTCAAGGATGCTTCTTTGTTATTGCTGTTCTGACTATGTATCTGGGTATGGTGTTTTCGAACGATGAAGAATATTTTAAAGTAACAAAAAGCCATAACCCCAATGATTAGAAGTGAGCCTGGTGTGAATGCGTAGTTCAAAGCAGACTGACTGATCAGAAGGAGATGTGCAGTACCAACAGATATCMCCCATAGCAACGCACAAACAACCATGACACGAAATCTCGTCACTATTGAAACATATCTTAGATGCAACTTCAGGGCAAGGTAACGGTCAACGGTAGCAGCTGCAATAGTTAGGAAAGATATTGTAGCAAAAGCAGTTGATATGATACAAGCAGCATACGCCAAGGAACATGTTAGTCGATTATTCATGCCATAGAACTCTTGGAATTTCCAGGCAAGTATAAAAGGTTCTGCCAAGAAAGCAACACCAAAATCCGAGATTGCAAGGTTAAATAAAAACACATTTGAAGGCGTATGCAACAAACCTTTGCGCCAAATGCTGATCAGAATAACAGAGTTGAAAATGATCGTAGGAAGCAGTAAAAACAAGTCTACGATCTGCGAGAATATTACTATCTCGTACAATTCATATCTGTGCTTGTACCAGAAGTTAAACTGCCCACAGGAGAAATTCCAAGCCATCGCCAGTCAAGTCGTCCTTGTTTCTGCTCCAATCTTTTCGTAGTCTATAACCTTATCTAAGACGTGTACAAACGTCATTTGAAGAGATTCAAGGTTGTTTGAAATTTTAATGCATTTTTATTACTTCACGCGAAGTGTTCATTGTTAATCATAAAAACAACTGACAGCTTCAGTTTCAATCGATTCTTCGAAAAACACATCTATTTTAATACAATTTTGTCTTTCACAATACTCCGGAACACCTGACTCTCTTACACGTCTATATCTCATCTTCTTCAGGGCACGATTATCTTACAACATTTTAGCACAAAATTTGATTCAAATGAACTCAGGATTTGCTAAAATATG